ACAAAAATTTTCTGAAGCATATTCAATTTAGATTAGCCGGCGATGCCTCTATTTGGTGGCAGGATGTGGTGGTGGTAGGATTCCTCTATACGGCGAGATTTTAGGTCAAAAGCTAGTCTTTTGACCTAAAATCTCGCCGTACTGTCAGGGATCAGATGTTTTTATATAAAATCATTCATAATAGGGTCGACTCCATATCACTTCTAAATGAAATAAGTTTCAGATGCCAAAGGATAAGTGCTAGAAAGAAACTTTTATTTTGTACTTCCACTATGCGCACAAAATATGGCAAGAACAATTTTATAACTCGTGCATGTAATTCTTATGATAAAAACTTTTCACATGTAGATATATTTTCTCTGTCATATGGACAGTTTAAGAAGGATATTGAAGCTGTAATGGATAATAGTTAAATTAATAGCTAAATTATCATTTCACTTAAATATCACACTTTACTTTGACTTAACTTCGCTTTAGTTTTTGCACACCTAAGTATGTCATGGTGTTCGCTTGTTGTCGATGTAACTGTGAACTTAATTGTAGAAACTTTATTGTTAAATAAAAGATTAATGTGTTATGTAATAGACTAAAATTGTGTATGTTTCCTTTGAAGATAAAATAAATAAATAAATAAAAGAGTAAACAACACTTTCCTGCTATTTTTCAATTGTTTCTGTGTCCGCCAAAATGAGTGAATCTAACGAAGAAATTCGATACATTCTGAAGTTTTATTACAAAAAAGGAAAATATACGAATCAAGCCGCAAAAAATTTTGACGTTTATAGACCTAATGCAGGGTAGTGTCGAACTATCGAATTTGTCGGATTATAGGATACTAAGCCTAAGACCCCCTATAGTCCGGGTTTTTTTTATAAGAGGAGGTGGTTTTTCTCTTTTAATCCGTTTCTGAATCTCTTCTAATCCATCAAATTACAGATCCAATGATGAGATTCTATGTTATACATATGTACTTTTCTCTGAACACACGCTAGGCCGCACAGCTATCCTCATCACATGAAGTCAAATTCGAACTAAGCAATCAGAATCAAAACAATACGCCAATGCGTCGAGCACAATAGTGGTGGTGCATACAAGTTATAACTTGCTCCATCATGCATTAGCGAAAATTTTCAAAAAAATATAGACCATGTCGGATTACAGAGGGTGCCAGATTAGACAGTGGCCGGACTACCGGAAGTCCACTGTATATCGGTACCGTAATGAATATTATCGCAACTTTACGATTATTCGTTATTTTAGCGAATGTCTTAGCGACCATTTTTGACAGCCCGCCAAGTGTTCATTACCTAGGAGTAAAAAGGCACTGATAAGTTTTTCGTTAGCATAACGACATCGTAAAGTAAAGATAATTAAAGGTTTTGCTCGCTATCTCGGGTGAAGAGACTTGCATTTATCGTAAGCATCGTTACGGCATCCTTGTTCCTTGTTCGTTATTATTTTGCGAGTGACAGTGTGCGATTGCGTCACTGTCCGCTGACCGCAGCCCCGGGCCAGAATAGGAGCTCTACCCTAGTACTCGGAACTCTTGCAATGGTAAAGCTAATCCTAATCCTTACACAGTTTGTGAAATTAGTTAAGCGTTAGATGTATTTTTGTCAAAAGCCCGTCTCACAGACAGCAGGGAATGACAGCTTCATTACACAGTAGTTTAGCAATGAATTCGCGGGTTCGTATTCCGCAGGGAACAAGTATTTGTATGGTCTACAAATAATTGATTCGGATTTGGATATTTTTGACCATATGCAATTTATGCTTGTAAACTGCCTCCACGATAAAGAAGAAAATTCTATTGTGGGAGTAATTCTTTTTTAAATAAGAAGGAAAAAAGCTGACATATTTGAATTTTGCCACATGCATCCCACACTTGTTTTAAATTTATATAGGTATTATAATATGGTATAAATAAAACAACTGTGATAAGATGTGCCATTGCTCACTCTTTATTACGCTTGTTAATTCAATATATAAAAACATAATATAAATTATCTTGTAAAATATCACACCTGAGTTGCAACGTAGCCGCGAGCCTCCGTCTTCGCGATTCGACGCCATCTTGATACTGTATTTGCGTTCATGTACATTTAGGTGTCAAAATGGTAGTTTAAATCGCAAAGACTTCACAGATAAACACGAAACGTGCGCGATAAATGTAGTTGAGAATAGTTATATTTGTTTAAAAAAATCGATAAATAATTATTAATCGATTTCAGAAATATCCTCAGACTACAAACATCCAAATCGAAGTAAAATATTAAGAAAATAATAACAATGTCAGCTCGCAACCACGGCCAAAAGTCAAGAATCGACACATGTGAGTAACGGAACGTAGCGGGAATAAAAAAAACACAAAGGTGAAAGAAAAAGTTGTTGTTAACAAGGGATCGGGACTTGCGCCGCCGTACAATTTGTTATACCTACTACATCTATCCTGCTTACACCTACCACTTACACTATGTACATACAATCTTTACCAAGCGACGATTTTCCTCTTAAAAAGTCCTCTTAATATTATCGTATTAATTTGAAAATTTGTTAAATGTCTTAAAAGTTCACTGAGCCCACTCGCACCACATTTTTTAAGTTTTAATTTTTTTTAGTTTTCGTTTTATAACACAACAAGAGTAACAGAAACGTTTAGCCCTGCTAAATCTAATAACATAAGTTACAGCTAGATACAACCGACAGAACTGAGGACGGCGAGACCGCGCGGTCCAGCGCAGCATCCCGTTCCTCCCGACTGCGTCCATCTTTAGAAAAGTCTAACGCACTTGAAGGAGTCGGAAAGGAGGTAATGCACAGGTTCCTACTATGCTTAAATGTGACGAGACTAGAAACCAAGATCTCTACCGTGTATAATGATTCATATTAATCAAATTCATTCAAGGATTATTTTACAATTTCTTTTTTATGGAATAAGGGAGACACGAGCACACAGTCCACCTTATGGTAAGTGGATGCTGTATCTCATAAATATCTACATTTATACTCAATTAAGAATCAAAATACAGATTTTGTAGTCACACCTGACTATGATTGAACGCCTCGTTAACATGGAAAAGGTTCTCCAGTTCTCTACACTCAACATACAAAACACAGTTTACGTTGGTATTGTGTGAGAACGCGGTACTATCCCGGTCGTCCGACCCACTAATGCTACAACCATAATGTAACTATATAATATATATAAATTATACTTGTTTTTAGCCTAGTCACATTGCGCCGTCTCGCGTTCACAAAAAATGACATTAAACCGATAAAACATCTCGTTATTCTACAAAGGAATCGCGCGACGTTGGATGTTTGTGTTAAGGGGTCCTTACAAAACATCTAATTCTAAGCATTCGTATTAACACAAGCACCCAGCGATCGACCGCGATTCGAGATCAAGAAATCAAATTAAAATTTGTATCGTTTCCGGTAACGAGGATTTCCAGATCCGTCACCCCGCAGCTACATTTAGTAATTTAAAATATTTAAAACGGTAACATATTATTTATGTTATATTTATGACGTTGCGAAACTGGTTTCTTTTAAATCAAAAGATTATAATATAAGGATAATTTTTAATTACTTTAGGCAAAGTTGTATGTAAATCTTATTTAATAATTTCAAACTTTATGTTTAATTGTTGTTCTATTTTATATTAGGTTATTCGTGTTGTGCGTCTTTTGAAGCTAGTGGCGAATTTCGTAAAACATCTGGCATTCATACACCTCCCATCAGTTACAACTAAACAACTTTGTTATGCATATAATTTTATTTATACAAACAAAATTCTTACGCTAATCCTACAAAGGGTTACCAGATTCGAAAATGAGCTTTCCCGACAAAATCCCTAACTTTAAAAAAATCCTGACATTTACGCAAATACATGAAAATTATCTATAATTGTAAATCGTACCCTGCTTGAAACGTGCGTAACATCCAGCGTTAAAAGTACGAGCGAGATCAGAAGAATTAAACAACTAAATTGTTGAGATTTGATTAATGTATTATTACTATTTGTTATAAAACTGTAAGGTTTTAATGTGTATTTCTTATATTTTTCTCTTTCTAATTAATAATTCCTGACAGTTTCTAATTTTCCCAGTTTTCTTGACAGAGGGATAAAATTCTGGATATGTTAGGAAAATCTCTATCATCTGGTAACCCTATTCCTACAAGATAAGACGAGTACTTGCATTTTAGCCATATTTAAAAATGAAACCGAATGTCATAAATTAATCAAATATAAACGAAATAGCTGCGATAGGAACGCAAGAAATCCGCATTACTCGAAAACCAAGAACGTAACAAGCGCAGTCCAAAAACTACTCGTGGTCTCATACAAAACCAGCAACCTTCCTCATGAAAGTCCAAATGCGTTCAAACGCCATCAACGCCTACAACGAGTAAATATATCAAAAAACTACTTTCGGTCTGCGAATGTCTGGTCGGGAACCGATGAAGATGGCGCGGGACAAACGTCCCTGTATACACGGCGCGCGATATAAACTTTGTACTTTGATCATTTGAGTGCAAAGGAACTCGAACACTGGAGCGGTCACACACACAGACAAGCAGCACTTGCACGGACGTAGTTAATAAGAGAACTATTTAAACCTTACGTTACATATAATTCTGTTCACCTGTTAACTACGTCCATGATACTTCTTAATATGTAAGTATAGTCATGGTGGTTTCTTATGAAAACATATTCATTGTACATCACACAGAAAAACACGAGTACACCAATATTGCAAACGGAGAGCGATTAGGGATATATGTATATATCTGTGTTATTGCAGTTATGGGGTTGTGGAGAAAATTGTGGAGTAAATACGTGTCGCACTAAAGATGAGATGGTCGTGAGTCGGTTCGCGGGATCCAGCTTTCCTAAAACGCGTTACACCGTCGGTGACGTCTTATGTCGCGACGGACTGTGGCGACGTTCTCGCACTGTGCAGTGCAGCACTGCCACCACACCCGCAGTCCGGCGGTCAGGCCCCGGCGAGGGCAGCCGCGGCCAATATCACAAGTCGACCGGTCGCCAGTCGCGTTACGTGGCGCCACGTTGCGCTTGCGCTACGTAGCGCCACATCGCACCAAGTTGCGCCACAGTACTTCGCAAGCGCGGCCATGACTCCACGGGCTGACAACGGCGCGATGCGCTCCTCACATTGGACGCTCTGAAAACAGAAGTAATTCAACATTAAATTACATATAGACTTGTATCTTCATAAAATTTTCTTGATGATGAAGTAACTTTCATTCGAAAGGATTAATATACCATGCCTAATAATAACTTACATCATATAGTTTATAATTTTCAATCAGCAAAATACCTTGTTGTGCCTTATGTATAAGAAACAGGCATATGTTATCGCGAACTCTTTTTAGATGCAGTAAAGATCTAATCATTTCGTAGAAAATTATATTTTCGTATCACTAACTATTGCGCCAGCGCACGTGGATAATCATTTCGGGAACTTTTTTACTTGCTTATTATAAGTCAATATTTAAGGCTACCTGAGAGGTGTAGCCTAATGCTAAATAGCCTAAACCCTATACTATTCCTCGAGAATCTGGATATAATATACCCACAAAAAGAATATTTCAAATCGGACTGGTAGTTTCAGAGATTAATGAGTTCAAACAAACAAAAAAAACTCTCCGCTTTATTATATTAGTACACATGACTACTTTAATGATTACAAGAAAAATACATTATTATAAAATAAATCAATATTTTCACATTGAGGTGTTACTACTACGCTAGTAATATAGTTCGATGTATTTTCATTTTAACAATTGTCTCATTCTCACAGTACAACTACACTAGCACAAAATATCTTAATTAAGTAATAATTCTAATTGTACCGAAAAAATAAAGTATAACAATAATTGATAATTAATAGTATTGAAAAGTACTTAATAGTAACAGTAAAATTAAGTAAGTAAATTTCGAAATTGGCCCAATAATACCTAGATACTGGGTATTTGGCCGAATGAGATAAAAAGTAGCCGAATAGGCCGAATACCGAACAATAGCCGAATATTCGTTGCGATTGCAAGTCTATTTACATACACTTTGCCATAGGAAGATATAGTTGTATTAAACATTATATTGTATTTTTTTTAACGTCCCCGCTGGCTTTCTTGCTAGTTCTTACCAGGACAGAGGCTATACCGAACCAATGGTAAAGCTTAAATGGCTTTCAATTAAGTATTCCTGTAATCTACATTTAATAAAATGTTTCAATTGAATTCTATATCACCGTGTAGTGGCGGTATAAAACATCCGCAACCCGATCCTCCGGTAGGTGTCGCAAGCGGCGACAGACGTAAACAAACCACAAGGTGCTCAGCACCGTCTTTCTAATAACAATAACCAATAAAAAGTGTGGCTCTCTCTGTGGAGCGGCTTACATTCTGCAATGGATCTTTTATACCTGTACGGTAACGATGATGAAGCAACGTATGTATTAAGTCCAGAAGATCTTTAGCCGGAGAAGGGCCAGACGCAACTCTGCGTGTGGTGGTACGGAGCATGTTCGATATACAGGGTTATTTTTCAAAGAGTAGCCAAATTTGAAACTAATTTCAAATACATAAATAATGATATACCATTATTGCAGTTTTTGAAAATACGAGTAAATAAGGCTTCTTTCAACTAAATAAGGCTTCTTTCAACTTTTATTTGAAATTATTCCAACAACCTTTTTGAAGAATGAGTGCGTGTGCAGTAAAATCAGTCAAAATAATGAATTTACCACGCATTTTGAATTTAAAAGATAAAAAGGACTGATAAAAAGGACCTACAAAAATTATGCTCGCACAGTGTCTTCTCCTTCCGATTCTCGACTATGCTAACGCAAGCTATGTAGACATAACTAAAGACCAACTAACTAAGCTTGAGAGACTTCAAAATATTAGTATTCGGTTCATATTTGGATTGCGCAAATTTGACCATATTTCCCAATTTTGCTCACGTCTCAAGTGGTTACCTATCCAATTTCGCCGGAACATGCATATTCTTTCTATTCTGTACCGTGTCTTATTTCACTCTTCTACTCCTCCTTATCTAAAAGAGAAGTTTAGTTTTGTTGGGCTTCCAGTGGAACCTCTACGCTCTTCAAGAAAAGTCATTTTAAGGGTACCAACTCACAATACATCTTTCTTTAATAAATCTTTTACTGTCCAGTCTATTAAGCTGTGGAATGCCCTACCTTTGTAAATACGCGAAGCACAAACTATTGTAGTCTTTAAGCGACTTCTTAAAGAGCATTACTTGTCTCAATCGTTCGAAAATCATTAGGATAAATGATAGTTTTTGCATTTATTTGTTTATGTTATTGTTTGAGGAATATATATACAATATGTAACGTAATTAACGCACACCCTCAGACACCCCAATTAGTATATTATGTTATAATCATAATACATACACTGAATTTTTAGTTAAACATTTTTATGCACTGATTATTTATCAAATTAGTTATACTAATTCCGGAAGAATGTTGTGGTCACAGTACAAATCCACGGACGCAAAGACTTTAACGTGCTTGAAATAAAGTTCATTTTTCTTTATTTTTATTGAATGACAGAATTAGTAATAATACAAATAAAACTGCACTCTTAAAAGTCTTATTGGTAAGGTAAGGACTGTACAGATTTAGTGTGACTATAATTTACGTAGTTTTAATTATTCTTGGGATAGAAATTACCTATTTTAAAAGTGATAGAAATCGATTCAGTAAACGATTCTGAACAAACTACTTTCTCAAAGTGCTATAAATATATATATATATATATATATATATATATATATATATATGTATATATATATATATATATATATATATATACATAAACACTCACGCCCGTCACCCAGAGGGGTAGGCAGAGAGTACGTACTTCCATTTGGCAAGATCCTGACATACCTCTTTCGCCTCCTTTACATCCATATATCTACGCATACATGCTCGTCAGTTAAGGGTACTTCTAACGTGGCCCCTTTTCAAAATATCGCCTTTTTTTTTGGGTTTTTTGTGTCTGAAGCATTCTTTCTTAATCTTAGTCACAACATCATCTTGCATACCACATTTATCTCTTATCACGCAATTTCTCACCCTGTCATTCAGATTCAACCCTAGCATACTCCTTAAAGACCGCATTTCTACAGCATTTATTCTAATTTCGTGCTTCTTCTGCCACACCCAGCTTTCACTTCCATACATTAAAGTAGGGACTAACACAGTATTATGAATTACCATACGTGCCTTTTTTGACACATTCTGGTTCTTCATTATAGAGTGTAGTGCCCCATTCACTCTATTCCCTGCATTTACTGTGTTATATCCCTATCATATCTAGCTAAATACACATCCCAAATACACAAACTCATCCACTTGCTCAATTAACTCTCCTTCTATTCTTATTTCACATACCCTTTTGCTTTCTTCTCTTTCAAAAACCATCACTTTCATCTTACTTGCGTTCACTTTCATTACACACACATACATACACGCACACACACATATATATATATATATATATATGTATATATGTGTGTATGTATGTGTATGTGTGTGTGTGTTTTTATGTATATACGTATGTATACTTGTATCATATTTTTTAATGTATTAGTTATTTATATGTTATTTTATTGCATGCATTGATATTATATTAGGTATATTTATATTGCACCACCTACCTAGTACTCACTGTTTTATTCCTTTACACCTTTGGTTGCCTGGAAGAGATCGCTATGTAGCGATAAGGCCGCCAAATTGTACATGTAATCTGCTCTCTGTTATGTTCTTTGTAAATTTGTTTGTGGTGTTCAATAAAGTATATTCATTCAGTCATTCATTCAGGACTGAATATTTGAGATGTTTTTAAGTATTTTCTACTAATTTATCCATATTACTTATACTGAACCTTATCTGCAAATTTAGCCGGTTATTGTAAAATAACCATATGTACAGAATAGGTAGTTCGAAAACTTCGATAGTGTGATTTAGGTTTCGGTTCGTTCATGCTTATTGGAAAAATGACCGCGTCGCCACAACACATATAATAATTTAGTACCCGGTTGACCGAGCTTTGCTCGGTATTTTTCGCTCGGTTTTTTTTTTAATTCGTGTGTTTTGGAAATTATATTTAGATACAAATTACATACTGATGAAATACGAATAATATTTTTTGATCGTAGCGACATAATAGAAAAAACTGAACTGGTTATTTGAATAAAAAATCATGAGTGCAATTAGCTTAATTTAAATGTTCGTGTTTTTAAAAAATACTAAAAAAAGGGCACGAAAAAATAGATTTTCTCAAAAAAGAAAGGAACTTGAAAAATGATTAAAAAAAGTCGGTCGGTCGGTCGGTCTGGGCTCGAACCATGGTATTACGATTTTGTGACCGCCCAATATACCAATTAAGCTATTTGTAATCATTAGTAAACTGTCAAAATTTACCTTCTTATTCTAACGATGTTGTAGCAGTTTTTATTGCCTAAAAACACGGACAAAAACACATTTTCTAAAAATAAATCCTAGCTAGATCGATTTATTGCCCCCGAAACTTCCTGCACACAAAATTTTATGAAAATCGTTGGAGCCGTTTCCGAGATTCCGATTATATATATATACAAGAATTGCTCGTTTAAAGGTAATAGGATCTTATTTCTTCCCTAATATCATTAAATGCTCTCCGGTAGACATGAACAAACCCCGTGATGTATCACGCCATCTACACAAAGCCATAAAAATTTGGCATTTTCCATATTCGCTTTTAATGATTACGACACCCACTGGACAAAATGAGGTGATGGATGCACCATATGGCCTTACTTTATATTATTAGCCTTTAATCTACCGTTGTATATAAACATTTACAGAAAGGCGTTAAATTGGGATGCCAGTGTACGTACGTGAGCTTGCATGTGCACGTGTGAGCGCCTGTGTGCACGCGTGTAGCACGTGTATGTGCGCGGGTGTGCGTGTGTATCCGTATGTGAACGTGTGTGAGTAAGTGCGTGAGTGCACGTGCGTGTGTATGCCATGTGTGTAAGTGTACGCATGTGCAAGTGTGTGAGCGTGTGTATGCGGGTGTGTACGGGTGGGCGTATATGCGCGTGTGTCCCCGAGTATGTATGCGTGTACGCACGTGTGAGTGTGTGCGTGTGTGAGTGAGTGCGTGAGTGCACGTGAGTACGCGCGAGTACGGTGTGCATGTGTGCACGTGTGTGCGCTACGTACTGCGGCGAGCGCGCGGCGATCACCAGCAGAAGACGGACAGCTCTCCGCCGTGCGCCGCGCCCACCGCCCGCCACGACCGCACGCCACCGCCCACCTTCAACTGCAACCACACACCACTTACTCAACTTGCTATTCTCACATTTTTTTCTGAATTTTGACATAATTTTGTATCAATCCATTTTGTAATAGTGTTTCATTAGAAAGTTGAAAACATATTTCACCTGAATATAACACATCCTATTTGTTAATAATAAGTAATAAAGCTGAACCTAAACAAGAAACCATGCGAAAAATTGTCGTCTGCTTGAAAGATTCGAATAATGGTGTTTCAATAAAGTTAGCCTCGGGAGTTTTGGCAGGAACTTTGCTGTTCTTTTTTATTATATAGATAATGGTTTGAGGTGGACTCCTCTACATAGTATAAAAGAGTCACTTCTCGCAGTATGTACGCTTAGATCGTTTAAACTTCGCAGCGGATTGTGATGCGGTTGTCATCAATAAACAAAATCATTCAAGAGGCACGCTTATATGTATAATACATGCATATATTGTCGACAAGCAAAAATCACCCGTGCGAATCGATAGTTGATGTATAAAAGAGGTGCGAATTTATGAATTAAATGCTTTCGCATGCAAATTACTAATTAAGTTTGTTTTTCACTGTGGGATATAATGTAGTTTATATCTCGAGATATAAATTAATATCGCTCACCGTACTTTTAAATGGAACCATTTAAGTAAGTATGAGATGTAATTTATATTACATCTCATACTATAAATATTTTTTCGATCGACCGAGCAATATTTTCATGCTATATTTCGCCCCCTGTTCCACGCACACCGTTCCGCTCCGCGCTACGTCCTCAATCTCGTGCCTGTCAGCTCTTTCGTTATCCTCTTAACAGTCTGTGCTCAGTATCTGAGTGAACACGTGCGTAGTGCGTATACTTTGTATTCGTAACTTTTTTATAAAATTCATTAAAGTCTAAATTCACCATATTCCTCTCTAAACTTTATATGATTTCATATCCAGTACCTACGGTCCATATTTTTACTCAAAATAACACACATAAATCTAATTCTGTATCATATCCCTCAGATGAACTGTCGAAGCTATATGTAACAAAACAATATCCATTTTGTTTGTGTTTACAAACGCGTTCGCTGTGATCCAATGGCGAACGCACACTGGTTATAAGATATATTTCAGAAATAATAAAAAATATATAAGTTATATCTTGGGATATAATATTTATTATAGTGCTACGATGGTGATGTGAACCTCAAAATAACGTGTTTAATGGCGATGCCTTAAAATACTGTCGTCATCGATTGTTTGTCTGCTGGCTCAAGCTGCCGTCAAAAACTGGCAAAAACACATAATGTGGTGAAGAAATTTTTAAACATTTTTTTTAAATAAAGTATTTGCATATAATAATACTTGACATTGACAAAAGTATAACAGTACCAGCCCATTACCAAAGAGAAAAAAATGGTTCCCAATTTTAAAAATCACTTCCCACCTTATTTTTTCCATTGTATAAATATAAGCTGCTTTTTAAAAAAAACGTCCCGTTGAGCTTCACAGTTTTCCCAGGACAGTTTTGTTCCAAACCAGTAGTAAAAATAAAAAATGACTTTCAATAAAAATTATGTAACCAATTTTTTTATATATAGCATTGGGTGACAAACGAGCACACAGTTCACCTGATGGTAAGTGTAAGTAGTAAAAAAATAAAGTAGTATTTAGTAGTAAAGTATTTATCCTATAAGAACCAAAATGCAAATGCGTTGTCACCCCTGAGGACTAAGATGGAATACCTTGATTCCAGTAAAAAGGATCTCCGGTCCTCTACACTGACCATATAAAACACAGCAGCATTACGATGCTATTTTACGCAGGTTTTCTGTGAGAGCGTGGTCCTGCCCCGGTCAAGCCGGCCCATTCATGCTACAACCATAATATATGCAGCGTGGCTCTAGAACGTAAAGAAATATGTTTAAACAATATATATTATACTTTGATAATATGTTTAAAGTTTTAAAAAAGTAAAACCGACTTCGAAACCAAAAGCAATAACTTCTACATAATAACTTCGGCAGTCGGGGACTTCAGAAATTATTTTATTTCATTATTTGTTTTTGAAGTCAATTTTTTTAAAAGTTAAGTTTTTAATCTTAACAAGAAATCACAAAAGTTCAATTATACTCTACCCTTGTACCACTGTATGCGTTTATTGTTCAATAATATGTGGTACTGCGAACAAACGAAATTTGTATTTTTCTACAACTGTACATAATTGATTTTTAATATGTATTATATTTGTTATTGTTTGAGTCCTGCGCATATAATATACTGCTACCGAGCTATATGTGGCACTGACAACGAGTTCCATGCCATCGTATAGTCTCGCGGCTCGAACGAGATACATGGCGGCGCGCCGTCAAAATGCGCGCGCATTGTACGCGCTCCATTCAACTACGCTCAATGGCCGTCATAATATCCGACGCCATTGAAAGTCTACGAACACAGCACAGTCTAACGCTTTTGTGAGATGCTTTGATGTTTTGATATTTTGTTAGTTTTGTGTGAGCTACTACGTTTTATGTAGGTATGTTTTTTTTTAATTTATTGTGTCATTGGCTTTAAGGCATTCAGTCAAAAGTACAACATGTGAACATATAATACAAAGTTTAGTCAAAAACTACACTTCATAAAATATGTTCACATGTTTAATTTTTGGAAAATTTTAACGTCCGCAACGTAAGAGCCTAATGTCTATAACGATGGTCATAATTCTTATCATCATCATTGCAGCCCTTCACAAGTCCACTGCTGAACATAGGCCTTTCCCAAGGAACGCCACAAAGCACGGTCCTGAGCCGCCTGCGTTCATCGACTTAGGTTTATATAATCATCAGAACACTTGTTTCACCCTTTCCATTAATTGTTTACATAATATGTTGTTATCTATATATTATATTATTCTATTGCTCAACACATGCGTTGATAAAACGTGTACAGAAGCAGCAACATGCATGCGGTTAAATTCCCGTCAACAAAGTAAGGTCTACGCAAACATAACACTCGGGCACAGTATAGACGCAAAGATTTTTTAAATTTAATTTTAATTTAATATAATTGACGGCTCCGTGGGGCAGTGACTTAGAATAAAGTATAGTACTACGCAGTAGTGGTTTAGCATTGTGTTGCGGGGCTGTGGGCCGCAGGTTCGAATCCCGCATGGAACAAGTATTTGTATGGCCTCCGAATAATTGTTACGGGTCTGAATGTCTTTTCTGGAGTAATTTACGTTTGTAAACTGCCTCCACGATACTGGAGAAAACCTAGTGAGGGGGTAGTGTTTTTCTAAAAAGTAAACAACAAAAATTAATGAACCCATTTGTCCTTAATCTCCATAAAAGCACGGTAGCGCCATTGCACATTAGTCATTACTAAGGAGCCGTGTAGTGGCGGTGCGAGCACAGCCACTGCCGCATGTCATCCCGTGGCGTCACAGGAGGCGGCAGAGGGAAATTGGATCAGGAGATGGGCAGCAGTGTCTTCCTAATAACGACTAAAATAAAAACTACGCTTGCCAAGCGTGGCAACTATGGCATATATCCCCCTGCGAGGCAATCTATGGGGGAGGCCTATGTCCAGCAGTGTAACGGTAACGGTAACGGAATATATTTAGGCGAAGTCGGGCCGGATTGCTAGTCAGTGATAAATTGCACGGGAGATTTGATTCACATCATAAAGTAAAGTAAAGTAAAGTATGAACGTGCGATAAGCCGCTGATATGGCGCGGAGGGCGACGCCACGCACACGAAGCGGAAGAGCCCATTCAACAATTCAATTTACAATATGACACTAAAACTCTTGTAAGGTTTATGTTAAACACATTAAAGCGATCGTAGGTGTCCATTAATTCAATTAAGTGCTTTAGAATATATCCTTTTATCGAACTTTGGGAAGGGAAAAATACTCTGTTGTAACGGAGTTTTTAATGATTGAACGCAATTACTTTTATAGGATATAGTGACAAACGAGTACACAGTCCACCTGATGGTAAGTGAATGCTGTGGCCTCACATCTAAATCTATCCTCGATTAAGAATTAAAATGCAGTTATCACCACTGAGGACTAAGATGGAATGCCTTCGTTTTCAGTGAAAAGTGTCTCCGGTTCTCTACATTCCCCATACGAAACACAATAGCATTAAGCTGTTTTTTTACGCTGGTATTCTGTGAGAGATTGGTCCTTCCCCGGTCGAGCTGACCCATTCGTGCTACAACCATAATATAACTGCCACGTGGCTCTACCACACATAAAGCTTAGCAAAGAGTTACAGAGCTATTGGACGCGGGTTCGAATTCCGCACGGAACAAGTATTTGTATGGCCTGAATATTTGTCCTTGTAAAATGTATGTGGGTCCCCCCCCCCCACAAAATAGGAATATATATCGTAATGTAATGTTGTAAAGGAAATGAGTTGAATAAGTAAGCGTTGCGGAAGTAGTGAATAACAATAACTTTAATGTTGTGTTTATGATTTTTATCATGTTATACAATTGCGCATGTTTTTGATATCTAGCTCATTATAATTGCAATGACAATGTTACAAAAACTGTTTACAATTAGGAAAATTATCGAAATCTCTATTGATGGTCCTTAAATAAATGCGTGAGCCAATAACTCAATCATCAGTCAGACGGTTTGGTTTCAGTATTTTCAAATGGAAGTAACTTCATCTTCCTTTACATCTTTTCTCTTAAGTACTCATTCAAGCGTAAACATTTGAACAAACTCTAGGCTCGTAATAAATAAAACTGGCTTGCTGAGTTGAATCTGGTACGTAGATAATACACTATACAGGGCAATCTGGCACGTGAAGTACTTGTTCACGATTACTTGCGGTTAGCTCCATGAGCACTAGGCGGTTTGACTTCAATCACATTAAATTACACACTTGATCACGAGCTAGTGAAAGTGAAAAATAACCACAGAATCTAATCGGAAAGCTTGGAACTAGTGAATATGTAAGACGTCTTGCGGGTCAAAGAACTGTGAGAAGTTTATATGTTATGGACCTAGTG